CTTCGACACAAATGTGAATTTCATTGATTTTATCCATAGGACTTCGATATAAATGTGAATTTCATTGATTTTATCCATAGGACATACACACAAAGATTTTTTTTAGTAGGCGTGGCTACTACTGGTTTTTGCGTCTCTGCTTGCTGTATAAACTATATGGCAACGATCGTGTGTGTGAAATGAACAAGAATAATGCAAAGCAACGAAACGTTAACCAACGTCTCTGCTTGCTGTATAAACTAAATGGCAACGATCGTGTGTGGAATCGATGCAAAACAGATCGCTCTCTCTCTCTCTCTTCTCTAACAGCTCTGATTGCTGTGGCTGTGTATTTTAACGTTTGAGTGTATGATCTCTCTCTCTCTCTCTCTCTCTCTCTCTCTCTTGATCTCTCTCTCTCTCCTTCATTCTTGATCGATAACACATACATACATACATACATACATACATTGAACGAGAGAAATGCATACTATGCTGTGTGTGTGTGTTTATATTGACTGTGTATATTTCTTATGGGCAACGACATACACATGAATACTCTCTCTCTCTCCTCTCTCTATCGAAACTGGTTTTTTTTCATTGTCAACAGCTCTGTTTGCTGTGTATTTTAAAATAAAAAGATTCTGTGTACATAGAGGATCGATCGCCAGTCCAACATAGAGCGCATGCTTTCAGAGCCATGACTCTACCAACCTAGCTAAACTGGGTTAAGTAATATATGTGCTTTCAAATGGAATATATACATTTTGAAGATTGATTCATTGATGGATAATACATGAGATTGAATAAGGTAAACAATTGTTGCTTTTTTGTAAATTTATATCATTTATTCCACATTTGATTGTATATTTATTTGGTTTATTAAGTGGTGCAATTTAAAATACATTATTATTTCAACAAAATTTCTATAAACAAAACTGCTCAAATTCAATTCAGTTTGCAGAGATATTTTGATCACCGATAAGCGATACACACACACACACACATCATGAACAATGTTATCTATCTTGAAGTTAAGTTTTTTGTTCATTATAACATCTGTATCACATACAATAAGTGTGGTAATCTTCAAAATTACCCAATTTTTTTGGATCCAAGTTATCGGTCAAAAATACAAACATACAACTACAACAAAAATTAGAATAAACTGTGCTTATAAGAGCAAATTGTATTATGAAAATTCAACCACAAACAATTGATAAATTTCAAGGTGCTTATGACTGACTCGAATCAGCACCGAATGGCGAAATTCCATACACACAAGTCACTTCAGACATAACGCATATAAAATGAAGGGCCGCAGTTCGTGACTCGAGTTAGTCATTGCTGTCCAGAGCAACGCGAAATTTTTGTGCACTCACATACACATTTCTTCCACTAGAGACTCATGTGAATCAGTTTAGTCATAGCCCCTTGATTTCACTATTCAACTTTTATAGCACATTTGGAAGAACCGCTCCATGTCAATACAACGAAAATATGTGTCGTCTCTCAAGTGTGCAAAGAACGCACGAGTTCAAAGAATGCAAACATCTCTTGAGCAAACAATTGTTATTAATATTAGCACTTTTTGGATGATTTAAATTCCAATTTGACGACGGCATAATATGTACGACATGAAAAATAACTATGATAAGATTAGATAATGATCTAAATACAATGAAAGTAAATATATAGAGCTGCCCAATGGAAAAAAATCTGTAGTTCAAACTGTTACCTGTTGAACAAAGTTTCAATCAGTTTCAATAAAAAAGAAAATGAAGGTCACCTCATTTTTTATATTTATCCTTTTCTGTGTCTGTGTTGTAACGAGCAGCCGAGCTTATAACATCAAGGACACTCAATTGAACAATGTAAGTTTTTCCCTCCCTCTTAAATCTGAAAATACATTTTTCATTATAAGAATCGATTTTATTTTAAATAGAGAGATCTATGGCAGAAAAAAATTGCGAATAAAATGCTTATTATCCAGGAAAATTCGGACAAAAGCACATACTCAATAAGTTTTGACAGAGAAAATGGTTATCGTATTGAAATCGAGTTAGTTTATGTGTTGCTTGAACAATTCGGCGAGTATATTTCAAAACTAGCAATTCTAATAGAGCGGGACTCAGATGGTCATTTGAAAAAGGCTATCGCGAGCGCTAGTCAGCATTGTGAACATTTACAATATTTATTTGTCAGCGGCGGAAAGAATGTATTAAATGAAGTAAAAAAACCGTTTTATAATGTAACGAGTGTCGGATTTCAAATATCTGAATTTGAAACCCATTCACAGAGCTTAAACGAAATGTTTCCAAACATTCAACGTTTAGAATTAATGTCACTTAAAATCAAAGATGATATTTTTAATGTTAATCTACCAAACTTAGATCATCTGGAAGTGGCCAATATCGACGAAAAAAGTGTTGGGAAATTAATAGAGAAAAATTTTCAACTTAAATTTTTGTATATGGGTTTTATTCGCGTAAATTTAGTTAAATTAGCAAGTAAACATTTACCTATTCTGGAAACATTGATATTACCATACAATACAGAAATTGATTGCGAACATGAGATTCACTTTAAAAATGTTAAACATTTCGAAATTAATCAGGTCACAGGAGGACTCATAAATATTAAATTTGAACAGTTGGAAGAGCTTAAATGCAACTCAGATTATTTTCCGAATTGGATTAGTACAGTAGAAAAAAATCCGAATCTAAAAAAACTTGCCGTCGAAACCAGAGAAGGAGTGGAGGATGAATATATTTTATCGCTTATAGAAGTATCAAGATATTTGATTGAAGCTAACTTCGATTGTGGACCCCACACTCAAGTAGAAACGATTGTTAAATTTTTGAAGGAGAGCAAACAAATACAAAAACTTCAATTAAATTATTGCCGCGGAATTTTAAGTGAATTAAAGTCGAAAATTCCAGATATTTGGAATTTAAGAGTAACTGATCTTGATGTCATTTTTATTGAAAAAAAGTAAAACAAAAAGCTTAATACAACAAATGAAAACTTTGTAAAAAAAACACATAATTTAAACTGAAGTTCCTTCAATGATTTTATTAAATGAATTAATTTTCTAAGGGAAACCTTTAATGTCTGATTTTGATTTATTTGCATTTTTTTTAAATAAATAAAGTTATGTTGAACTCAGTGTACAATGTCTAAATTTTTAATTTAAATGGTTAAGAATAATGAAGACTCAATCGAATGTTTTTCTCGCATGGACTTGACAACAAACTACAACAGCAAGTCCAAATAAAAAAAACTTTATCTTGATGTTTTATTTTCAATGAAATTCGAGATCGACATTATTTTAACCCATTCAAATGAATTAAGCAATCCACGGTGAATTCAAATAATATGATTTCTCACAATTCAAGGAATCGTCAGTCAAATGAGGTAAATCAAGACCAATATTAATTTCATACTAATAATTGTTATGGTAGTGGTAGTGGTGCCAGCAACAAGAATGATATGCTTTAATATTATATTGTTGGAACAATTTAACGGCATATCCACAGAGTGGAGGGTAACATTGCGATCTTCACCGATAGCCTAGGTGCTAGGTGGAAACAACATCCCATCTTGTAGACAGATGTTCAAGGCTGAATGAAATTAGGGACAGGTTCACTGGATGGAGATCCTACCAGATGATTCATGCACCTAACGTATTCAGACTGGTACAATTTTTCAAGCGGGCATGTGAACAAAATCCATGTCTCGTACATATTTTTGGATAAAGACTATTTCGTGTATCATACTACACACACGGGCGTCTTGCAATAGGTTGTGAAACCTGAGCAACGAGTTTTACTTTGTATTCATTTAGAACAGTACACTCCCCGTTCAAATCCAATAATCCAATAATCCAATAACGGCATATCTATGGTAACATGTATTTGTCCAGCAATTCGGTTGGCCATCTCCACCATTTGGGTAGATATCAATGTGGCCGATTTTTTTTCTATACCCGAAAAAGCCGGAATTGGTGTGAATCACTTGTACAACGTTGGCATCGATTTTATAAACTGGGCGAATTTGTAGTTTATCTTCAAAGCATGGTGCTGCCGGATCTAACGCAATTATATGTGCCATTTTCATATTTTTTTCACGCAAATAATTTCCCATGTTTCCAATTATGTGAGCACCTAAACTGTGTCCGACGCCAACCATGGATGATACATCTAATTTGTTATCATTAGCTAATTTTTCTATCATGTATCCTGCCCAATGACCAACAAATGGGACTTCCTGTGCCACACGCGGATAATTAGACATGACATAGCTATTACGCTCGTCCCAGTTTATATAAATAATAGAACCACTTCGAATGCGACCCTTCAAATCATTTGCGAATTCTTTTGAATATTCTCTAAAACCCCCAAAAAGTACAGTGACCTTTCGTGATTTCAAATGGTTTGCAAAATTCCAGTAGTTTTGGTTCTTTGTTTCCGCATCATATACGCTCATGGAAGCATGGCAATTGCAACTGTGATCACAGAGCGCAACAAGTCTTATTCCTTCTTTACAGAGTGTTGAGTTTCCATGGTGCCAACCACAGCCTATAATCGTATATTGTAAAATGTCATCCCAATTTTCTGAATCGTTCAGAGACTTTGACATTACTGGAATCAGGAAAGCATTCTGAATATAACAAAACAAATTTTCAAAAAAGCCAATAAGTGCTACTTACTCTCTTCATTTTTATTTACAGTTTTATGGCAACTGCAATGGCTTGTCTAAATGTCAAACAAAAAAATTATAATTTAGTTCAGTTATGTAATTTAATTTTACTCAGTTGAACTCTTACATTCTCAGTTTGGTTTGGTGTACTTTCGATTGGTGTCATTTTTAAATGGTGCGTTTTACATGTGCAATCGGATCCTTTCTGTATGCAATGGGTGCCCTAAATGTGGACAGAAAAGTTATCATTAAATCGTGAATATATGTAGTTTCGCTCAATGAAACTCTTACATTCTCACTTTCATTGGGCGTGCAATGAATGACCTAAATTTAAACTGAAAAATTATTATTTAATTCGTATATGGCTGTATTAGTTCAAAGTTAAATTAATCAATTAAGTAATATAAAGAATAAATATATTTATATGTTCTCAATTGCTGAAACATAATTTAAAATTGTTAAAAAATGTTAATTTAAAAGAACGTGTAAAACGTTTACTCTCAGCGTTGACATAAAATAGTTTGCAAATGTTTGTACTATTTAGAAGTAAGATGATGTAAAAAATTGAATTGCATTTTCAAACTATTTTGACATGTGTACCGCAAAATTTGCGGCGCAAATATAACTCCATTAAAACAACGAGAGAGAATGAGTGCATCATCTCATTGAAAGTGTTATATCAATGAAAGAATGTGCGCAGAAAAGAGATGATAAGAGAATGCTTTGCAAACATGTTGAACGAAGAATACTTTTGTATGAGTGTTATGATAGCGATCTTTGTTTGTATTAAAATTGGTGACAGAAATCAATAGCGAACTCATTGCAAACATGTGCGCAGAAAAGAGACAAGTGTCGAATCAATAGAGTGTAGTCACCGATACACGGAAATATGGTCACCACATTATAGTATTGATGATGTTGTAGTTTGAACCCCAATACGAACGGTTTCTTTGTTGGAATTTTTCGATTTCATTTTTTTTGCCATTAATGCCGAACACAAAATAATGTAGTTTTGTTAAACGATGCTTAAGCGACGATGTTCAAACGAAGAATGATCAGAAAATGCATTTTAATATGAAAATTACTTATAGCAACCCAATTCATAAATATTCCTTTGTGATTGGTGTTTCATACACCTAACGGTTTTTAATATCCAATCAGAGCTAATGTTTTATGAGTATAGAAAGCATTTTTTTTTATTCTCCTTGTATAGATTTGAAGGTCGATACTGTAAAAGAGATATATTGATGAACATATTCATTTTTGTGCGTGCCATAGACACATGAAGACGGTGAATTTGCATAAAACTCATTGACTATCATTGAATTGATTTAATTTAATAAAAGTTATGAAAATGTCGCAAAATATATTAATTGAAACGCAAACGTCGAATATAAATGATAGCAATAATGATAATAGTTCCGAAGATGAACAAAGTGGTGAATATACCGATCCGAAAACATTCCAATTAAAAAAGTTTGAGAAGAAATCGAGCCATTTAATTTGGTCACACTTTGGCTGTATATTCAAGGGAAATGTGATAGTTAGCAGAATGAAAGATCGTATTATTTGTCGTATATGTTTTAAAAATAATAGATTTAAAAGGTTGGTGACTTAGCCGATAACGCATATTATATCTCAAAAATATTTTGTTTGAGTGTATTCCATTGATTAATCTAATTGAAAAAAAAAAAATATTTTTCATTGTTTAGTTATGCCAAAAGCACCAGCGCAACGGTTTTGATTCAGCATATGTTCAATGACCATAGAATAAAAGTGACTTCGGAGAGAATTGAATTGAAACAGAAAAAACTGACGGATTCGTTTATTCAACCCGGGGAGAGAAAAGAAAAATTGCATTCCGATGATAAATTTATTTTGGCCCGAAGATTGGTGTTGTGGTATTGCAGAGATTTAATACCATTTTCTTCAGTGGAAAAGGAAGGCTTTCTGGATTTTTGGAGAGTGATCGGAGGGCTAGGAACTAAAGACAAAGGTCTTCCAACACGACAAACAATTTCCATTTTAGCGTTAGACGATATGTACACATGCCTGAAGAAAAAATTGCTCACCGATTTGAGTCAAACTCCAGGTAGATTACACTTTTTAAATTATGAATTATAAGCGAAATAATCAAATATTCAAATGATTTTAGAATACTGTACTATTACATTTGATATGTGGACGGACAATCATAAAAGATTATCATATGTAACATATACATATCACTATATGGACTCTGGATGGAATATGAAAAGCAGAATCTTGAGAACTGGCCGATTTGATCGACCCCATACTGCTGAGCGTATTCGTGATGATTACATTAACACCATGGCTGAATATGGTATCGAAGAAAAAAATGTAGTGTGTGTTACCGATGGTGGTGCCAATGTTAAGAAAAGTACCGAATTACTCAATTTAAAACGTTTCGCATGTGTTGCTCACTCAATCAATAACCTAATACAAAAAGATTTAATGAAATCAAAAGATATGAAAGAATTGACTAGTTTAATTTCAAAATTAAGGAAAATTCAAAGAACTTTGATTTACAAACACACACAATTGAAAACAATTTAGGAAGATGATAAGCATAAACATTTAATGATGATCTTGTTAGAGGAATGTTCACAAACGGATGATATATTTGATGCTGAGTCACAGTTCTCTGATGTCAATTTTGAAGAATTTAACCGCGGTGGGGATTTTACAGGATTAAAATCCATCAGCACAGTCCGATGGAATTGTGTATTTAAACTCGCACAAGTTCATTTGAACCACATAGGTAAATGATGGCCGATAGGCTTATTAACTTTTTTTTTTTAATTTTTTCACAAGTAGCATGGTTTGAAATTTATTTTATCAAATTATTTCATTTAAGAATCCATAAAAAAGTGCCTTGAAGAACTAGAGGAATATGATTTGATTCTAACAAAACAAGATTCCATATTACTTGGCGGGGTGGTTGAATTATTGGACGTTTCCAACGTTTTCACAACGTACATCCAAGGAAATGATTTTCCCACTCTCAACTCCCTTGTGCTATTTTATTCCGAAATTAAAGATCGTTTGGAAACCATTCATTTGATGACGACTGATGATTTAATTGAAAAGGCAGCCGATATTCTTTTGACAAATTTGAATAGAAGAATGCCTTTACCGATGGAAGCAATTGCCAGTGCGCTTTTGGACCCTTCAACACAGCATTTAAAAATCATTAATGAATGGTTAAATTTAGAAGGTTTGTTTCTTTTATATCAAAGTTTGATTCACACTTTTGATACTGCGACATGGCATTTGCTAATTATTGTTTCTTTCTTTAATTTTCTTCATAAAGGATATTCAAAGGTTGAAGTCATCGAAACAGTTGCGCAATCAATGAAGATAAATATCCATGAGACTATATCGGAGGCGCCAATTTTGGATGACAGAGACACCACAGTCCAACCCAAATCATTAAGGGAGAAATTACTTGCAAAACACATAAATATGATTCACGGAAGTAGTAATTTAGAACAGGAACTGGAACTATTTGCTCAGAAGAAAGAAATACCAGCATGTGTTTTGAGTTTTTGGCGTCAAAATGAGTCATCATTTCCAAAAATGTCTGCGGTTGCCAAAGTAATTCTGGGAATACCAGCAACAACAGCTAAATCGGAAAGTGCTTTTTCAATTGCTGGTTGCTTAATACAAAGAAGACGGGCATCAATCGAACCAATGCGTGCTGAAAAAACTTTATTTATACATGATAACTATGACTTGTTCAATTTTTAAGAAAATTCATATTTCTTTGTTATCTGTAGTCCACACTCAATTACATTGTAAGCTCAGGTAGTAAGATAAATCTAATAAAATATAAAGCGATTTTATGAGAAGATGAAAAATTAAAATAATAATAAACAGAAAACACACAACATTTTTTGTCAAAGCTAGCATTTTTTGTCAAGTAAACAAGTAACATAATTGCTGCTTTTTTTTGGAGCAATGCGAGCAGCAGCAGCAAACTAAATACAGACATACTCGAGCAAGCATTCGTTTTTGTGCTTGCTTCCAGGTCCGACTACGGTTAACTTTAAGTATATGAAATTGACTTTTTTCAACTATGTTGACTATAATCACTTTTAGGAAAGAAAACAATATTAATTTGTTTTTTTAAACGACAGTTCGAATAAGATAAATTATTGGAACATTTTCAAGGAAATGAACAACCTATACTTTCACTGACGCAACCCTTAGTACCACTGACGCAACCATTACTTAGCAAATCACTTTTAGTTAACTCTGAAACATAACCGACTATATTCGATTTCAATCATCTATTGGTAATTTTAACTGAATAAAAGTGATTAAAATTGACTTAATTTATAGTCAGTCAATCATTTTTTTTCGAAAGGGTATTTATTTAAAGGGTATTCATTTATGCAATCGTCATGAAATTTTGTCTAGATCATTTTATTTGCAGAAAATATTAAGTTTCCCAAAGTTTCACGACGGTCGGATTAAAAATAAAAATATCGATTCTCGAGTATGACTTATTTTCGACAAACTTCATTTTTTTCTGATTTTTGAAAAATTGTGAAATGTGAGCTATATTCATTTATGCACCAATCGTCATGAAATTTTGTCAAGATCAGTTTTTTCGCAGAAAAAAATAAGTTTCTCAAGGTTTCAAGACTGTCGGATTAAAAATGAAAAAAGTCGAATATATAAATATTCAAATAGATTCATTATATTGAAAAAATTTACTATTTAAAAAACTATTATACCATCTTTTGAATTTTGCGGCGTATAAAATTATTTTTTTGACTCAATGAAGACACAATGGGGACTTTTTACATCAGGTACAACTTGATATGTGTGTTTTATTGAAAATGTGCACGTGAATAGAAAAGTTCACGAAAACGGCAAAGGGTAAACGTGTGTTAAAAATGGGGAATTGGCTGTCAAAAATGGTGCGTTTGGTTGTCAAAAATGGGGAAATGGCTGTCAAAAATGGTGCATTTGGTTGTCAAAAATGGTAAAATTTGGCTGTCAAAAATGGGGAAATTGGCTGACAAAAGTGGGGAATTGACTCCCCAGAAATGGGGAATTGGCTGTCAAAAATGCGTCGATAAAAAAAACCGAAAAAAATGTGTAAACATTTCTTGAAATAATGAAAAATAATATTATTCGATGCAATTTGATACTAAAATAATTAAAATCAAAAATGCGTCGATAAAAAAAGGCAAAGGGTAAACGTGTGTTAAAAATGGGGAATTGGGTGTCAAAAATGGAGAATTGGCCCCCCAAAAATAGGGAATTGATTATTTTTCATTATTTCAAGAAATTTTTACACATTTTTTTCGTTTTTTTTATCGACGCATTTTTGACAGCCAGTTCATTGATAACCCTAGCGGGGGAACAATATGAATCAACGAAATGAAGAAAAAATAAAAAACCATATGAAAGATAATGTAATTGAATTATTTTAGTATCAAATTGCATCGAATAATATTATTTTTCATTATTTCAAGGAATTTTTACACATTTTTTTCGGTTTTTTTTTATCGACGCATTTTTGACAGCCAATTTCCCATTTTTGAGGGGTCAATTCCCCACTTTTGTCAGCAAATTTCTCCATTTTTGACAGCCAAATTTTACCATTTTTGACAACCAAACGCACCATTTTTGACAGCCAATTCCCCATTTTTGGGGGGCCAATTCCCCATTTTTGACAGCCAATTCCCCATTCTTATACACCAAAACCATTTTACCCACGAAAACCGTTTCGCTTTGTTTATATACTATTTGAGCCAAGTCTTGGCCAATATTCTCATTCATATAAATAATATGCTCGAATCAACAAAAACAAATAATACTCGAAAACTGCAAACAAAATGGAGGCGGTTTATCGTTTTTATCGAAACAATAAACATAAAAATATGTTGTTTTCATAAAAACGTTAATTTATGTTAAATTCAAATCTTATTTTAAATTACCCGCGGGCGAAAAGTATTCAACGAATTTCCAAATGATAAAGTCAAACAAAATAATTTAACAAAGATCGATTAGCGCAATTTTTCAAATATGAAACACCATTTCGCCACATAAAGTTTTTATTCACGTTCTTGATATTTTTTACACTAGATGTCTCTAACATTATTAGGTTTTGATACAAATTGCTAGCCCATTTCTAAAAATAATTCAAAATTCTACGTTAACAGAAAAGTATTTTTCACCAAAAATGCAATATTCAATGATTTTTTGCGGATATGATGGCTTTCTTTAAATGCAACTCGATTTATTTAAAATCCATTAAATTAATGTATGGATTAAACTTGTGAACAGCTTTGCAAGCTTAATACCTGTTGAATAACATGAATAAGTATAATGATTTTTTTGTCTGTTCACAGATTCTCGTTGTCTTCTTGGCGGAACTAGGCGGAATACGAATGAAGCTTCAATTACATTAAGTGAGTATAATGCATACATGTTGTATGCTATCTAAAAATTTGTTACTTTTGCATGATGTGCCGTGAGAGGTGGTGTTCAAAGTAAATAAGTTGCAATGGATTCTGCATAATAGGTTTCATAGAAAATTTGGTGCTCTTTGTTTTGCATTTGCATAATAACAGAAAATGTTCAATAGATACGCGTTGACTATTTGGCGGAATAGACAGACAGACAAACACGGCAATATGTATACACTCTTATATTGTAGGGATTACCCCAAACAAATTTTCGGATTTTTTTCTAATGTTACCCCAAAAGTAGTCAAAATGACTCCAAATGGATTAAATTATTATTTTGTGAACATAGAACTATTTTTCACAATAAAATTATTTTAAAACACCCAATAATGTACTGACAGTTCTAATGTGGTAAATTTTACAACAGAACGTTTAAAAAATCTTTATGTCAACGAACGTTGTGAATAGTCCAACAATCGTTGTCGTTGTGAATACGTACAATATACAATGACATATGTATATTCACAATGACAACGATTGTTAGACAATTCACAACGTTCGTTGACATAAAGATTTTGTGAACGTTCTGTTGTAAAATTCACAACATCAGAGATGTCAGGGTGTTTCAAAAGTAATTCGTGCTTCCGTAAAACTTCAGAAAACAATATAAAAAATTTGACTATGAAAATTATTTCTTTGTTTACAAAATAATAATTTAATCCATTTGGAGTCATTCTGACTCCTTTTGGAGTAATCATGGTAAAAAATCCAAAAATGTATTTGGGGTAATCCCAATAATATAAGAGTGTACATATTTATTCAAGCTCTACATTCTACAACCTGCCATAAACAAAATCGGCAAAGTAGTTGTCATAATTTGAAAAATTGGTCTAGATTTCTAATCTTGGTGTATAAATGCCGGTAGCCCATCTGTAAAAATCACAGTTTTCATCTGTTTTCGCTGTAAAAATGTTCATGGTGTTAAAATTATGAGAGTAAATATTTATTGTTCTCTGTTTGGAATTTTCAAACAGATTGATGCACCCGAAGAGGTGAATTTCATTTTGTATGAATTTGTCCATCGTATTGTATACAGAGTTTTCATATGCCGTCATTGTGTGCATGTGTGGGAAGGATGTGCGATACATAAGTACATTTATTGAGTGGATATTGTATGTAACGGATTTGCTTGTGATACTAATATTCAGACAAAAGTACGTTAATAAGTTCACTGATACAATAGCAATGATATTTCTCCTAAATGTGGAAACATTGTTATTAGTTTTTGTTGAAGTAGTGTAGTCAACCCCAACAGTATTAAGTATTCATCTAACAGTGTCTGTGTTATTATATTAAAGACATAATACAAATGACTGAACACGTTGATAATGTCGCCTCAAGTTGTATGCTTACAAATAAATAGACTTATTGAACTGATGCCATATATATGCCAGAAACCTGAAGTAGGACACCATTTTTTGTAGAAAGAGAGAAAGATAGAGGTGGGGTTTGGTGCGACTTCAATTTATTTATCTTTGAGTATTGCAATTTTGTGGCCATATCCGTATTGTTCGTGAGAATCTTATCCCTTAGTGAAACACAGAAAGAGATCTAAATACAAATGGATGAAAATTAAATCTACACCGGATATACGAATAGAATGGAACAGTGATTTTGCGGAAGATAACTGAGATGCTCATTGATTACTTCAAGATTTGAATGAGAATACCTTAGCGAGTGCACTTCAAATTCTCAAGTCCATATACACAACATTTTGGTACCAAATTAATTTAATTAAATATGGAAGCCTACGACAACGACAAAGGTTAATTGAATGAAAAATTTGACGAATTTCTCTATCGAATAAAGAAAAGTTCTACAATGTTGAAAGACTTTGAATTATTGAAGGTTTTTTGCAACAAAAATGAGCATATTGCTTTCCCTGAACAGTACTCGGGGAGATAGATTTGAAAAAAAAAACTCAATTTTGGCAAAAATGTGACATATTTTCTGATGTATTGTAAATTACATCGTTAAAGTATTCAAAAACTGAATTTTCATTTTTTTTTTAAATTTCGATGTTATTTAAAGCCATATCAGTGTGTCCATAATATATAGAAATAGCACTAAATAGTGTCGATATCTATACTATATCGGTCCACTATATTTGGAAGATATTGCCGCACGGAAGCGTATCACACGATCGAAGTGAGTGTAGACGGGAAAAATCACAAGTTGCCGTGCGGCAGTAGAAAGAACTGTGTGTATGCGTCAACATTTTTGCCGTCCGCACTCACTTCGATTGTGAGTTACGGTGTCTTGCGGAAATATCTTCCATATATAGTGCACCGATATAGTATAGATATCGACACTATTTAGTGCTATTTCTATATGCTATGGACACACTGAGCCATATAGAGTCAATTTTGTCCGTAGAATCAATTAATAGAACTTGAAAAAAATCGATTAAAATGGTCATAAAGATTTACATGACAAGAAGTCAATTCATTAAAAATAATTCAAGTTTTGTGAAATTTCCCAAGCATTTTCAAGCATATATTGCTTGAAAATGCTTCTAAAATGTGATTCATTGAAAATTTTCATTTTAGTCACATTCTTTCTAGAAAAGATTGAGCCACCCTAGTCACCATATATATTTTCAATATTGTCGATATCAATAAATCTTATAAGACAAAAAGAAAATTTAAATATAATTGACTTTAGCGTTCGTTATACGATTCTTTCTGAAACGAACTTCGTTTCAACAAAATTGCAGTCAAGTGTTCGTCTCTGTTTACCTTATGTATGTGTAGTTCCAAAAATTTCCTAGTCAAATATTATTAATGAATGAGAAGGTACTTAGTTTCATATCTCATTTACAAATACCATTTTTAAGCATTTATGTAGGAATTTAGGGCCGGCGGTCGGTCGGAGTTGCGAACTCTGTTATTATTTTCACAGAATCAATGCGATTGCATCCAGCATTTACGTTTGGTAACAAACTATGTTCAAGAAATCCTGGCACAAACACGATCATTGAAGTGGGTACACGAATTCTTTTTTCTGTCTCCAGATTGCAACATGATGAAAATTATTAATATGAACCGAAAAAATTCAAACCTGAAAAAGATATTGTGAGCAAAACTCGCAATCATATTGCTAATGCAAAATTTCAAATTCGAACTAGATGATCAACATAAAAATACGGAACCTAAACTAAACAGAAAAAATGTTGCTCATAAACTGAAAAAATCAGACATCCGTCTTTGAATGCAAAGCAATAGAATGGATTCATATTTACGGATATATTTGCTTATGTGATGAAAAGAAGCTCCATTTGCAAAGCATCAAAAAATCTCCGGTTTCAACACACACAAGCAAATTGGGTATAATCATGATAAGATGAGACAAAATTATCATATTGTATGTGCCATCATCAACACTATAAGTGTCTGTATGGTCTTGATGTTTCTTGGCAATGAGCCATTGAAACAAAACGCTTCCAATGCTCGTTCAATCGATTCAACATAATGGAATAATATCAAATCATTTCTAATGGGAATTGATTATGTTTATATGAAACATAATATAATAATAATAATAATAACCATAATGAAACTGAAATTAATTGCGTCAAATTCGGACGGCATGGCCCATTTTAATGACAACGGAAGAGAGAGGTAGTCACATGGCACAACGCACAGTCGAACACACAACATATGTATTTTATGTGTTCTCAATCGCATTATTAAAATATCAATCAAGTAAAACAAAAGAACAATCATATTCATTAAACTGTGTGGACATTTATTTGTGTCATATATCAATAGATTGAAATTAAATTGTATCCTCTTAAAGTTGAAAAATGTTTGATTTGAAAAGCCATACACGATTTTCACAATACATATTTCGACATATTTCTTTCCCCGTTTGTTTGTATTTTCGTCCATCCTGGAGGAATCATCATTTTCATCAAGAAAACATAAATCAAAATGTGACTTTTATTTCAAAAGGCTTTGCATAAATTCTCCTTAGTTTTTGGTGTTATAAGTGAAAATTGGACGAGAACAAGCTCGTACTTATATAGAAATAGAAAATATCATCATTAATTTTTATTATTAATATCATTTTAAATCATGTACTCACGGTAATAATTGTACCACAAACCTGTAAAAAAACACAAGATCAAATATTTTAAAAATGTTTGCACTTGAAATGATTTCCATTCATATGGACCAACCGAAAGAATCAATGGCCGAGTGAAGTAGAAGAACCTCATGCCAGTCAATCCGACTTTTGTATTTACAACTTGTTCGAGCAAACGATTTGCCTGAAATAAAAGAAAAAGAAACAAAACCACATCAGTCACGCAATAAAAAGCTTCTCCAAAAAAAGAAGCATTGCTATTATCGGCAACGCAAAAGTTCGGGCACTACGTAGTGCCCGCATCTAATCCATATAACTTTTAAAGTGAATATAAGAAAGAGCGACACCTACAAGAAAAGTGCCCGCACATACGCGGTGCCTATAACATCGATGCCGAAAAAAATACTCACTTCTGAATCGTAAAAAAAAAAAAAAAAAAAAATAAAAAATACTCACTTCTGAATCATAAGTATCATTTGGTATGGCACGAACCACTTGTGCCGGTTTTTGAGATTCATCATTGATTCGTGCTGCCGACAAAGATACTAATATTGTTCGGCAAATCGTATAAAATAATAAAAACCAAAAATAGGTCGCTTCGGTTACCGTTTCTTGTAATCTGTAACATTTTAAAGCGTTATTTTCTTGTTTCAATTTAAATCACATGATAATCAGAGTGTTTGAAACAATGGGCCGAATAATTATCACCACCTCCCCAAATTTATATTGGAAATTAGTTCTTCGATTGGAAATCTAATGCATGCAATGGTTGCCATTTCACATTTAAAAAAAAAATAATGAGCTTTCCAAAAAAAAAAATGAATGTACTTCAGACATTTTGATTAACATATACCTTTAATTCATTTACTTACTGAAAACTGTGCAACAATTGCATCAATGTCGTATACAAATTAATCAATACGGAAAATGCGGTCATGATCGAAATTTTTTCATCGACATTCATAATTAAGTCCACAATCGATGAAAAGTGTTTTCGTTGATTGGTCCAGAAAGAACGTGGCATTTTCTTTTTGTTGTGTTTGTTTTGCATATAAAATTTATAAAAACATACATTTATCGAGTCCATTGATCGCCTGAATTCATTTTTAAAAAAAGTTTATGAACAACAAATAACGGTGCTTACCATGCCTTTATATTGTCGCAAATATTCATTTAATTGATTGAAACGCGTCGAGAGGCAAATACTGATTGAAATTATGATAATATCCATATATATCCATTGAAATGTACAGTAAAAATTAAGAATTTCCATTAGAATTCCACGAACTCCATCGTCGTATTTGATATTTGTATAGATTTGTGGCCATGCCTGTTTTAAATAACCTTCCACGCTTGTCGTGTTCAAGCAAATATATACGCGAAACGTACCAACACAAATGCACAATATATGTTCAACTAAAATGTATATATATATATGTGTGTGTGAGAGAGAGAGAGAGAAAGAGAAATACAATGTAAAATAAATATGCTCATTATTGCAAATTCGATTGTAATGAATTTTAAATACGTCAAATATAAGTGCATAGCGGGTGTGGAAGAGTATGCTTGTGTTACAACTGTGCTATAATAGACTTTTATCGAGAACAATATCGATTGTAATGATACTCAACTGAATAGACCCAATGTTATAAGGCTGGCATACAGTTTAATTTTAAAGTGAAAAAATTTGATAGTCCTTTTGTGTCCAACATACGCCGGAAATGTATTTTCAATACGTTCCCATTCGCCCATGAGTGAGGGCCAATTTTTTGCCAACCATAGAAAATATGCAGCCACCATAAATTTTGTTGTAAACCAAAAAACCGAATCTATTCGAGAAAACAAATCTCATTTTAATGTCTTAATGAAATGTTAACGAGGGCGAATAAACAAGTTTCGTTGGTGTATTGTTATTATTGTTGTGGTATTGCTTCGTTTTTCTTTTCTCTCGAAATTTTCGAAAAGCACATACAAACCATTCGATATTTGTTAACCGAAGCATGAACCATAAATGAACAAACCATAAATAAATTAATTACGATTTAATTGTAATGAAATTGAAATTATCGGGAAATAAAGGGAAAAAACCGATTTTCAATACAAACCCATATTGGCCATGGTGAATTTATTGCGTGCTATCCATCTTACTGATAAAGCAATACCAATGGCTTGTCCGCCCATCACAAGCAGAGTGTGCAACGTTCGAAAATCAAACCATTTGAATTTTAAATTTTTTGCCGATTTCGATGAGATACCGGACACTATAAATCCGTCAATGAATAATGTGAATGATGCTTTTTTCAGTTGGATACGATTGATAATGATGCAATGACATACCTGGCAGAATTGCAAATATTTGACCCAAAAACAACACTTTTCAGCATTCCCGATAAATGAATTCAAAACAAAATGTATTACATTTCTTATATAAAACAAACAAAATAAAATAAAATATATTCTCAATTACCTGGGTACAATGCCGTGTGTGAGGTTGTATGATACAATTTCTTCTTTTTCCAAGATGTTTCACCGATGAAGCGAATATCTTTTTGTACTGATTGAATACGAACATTTAAAATCTCGCCATTTCGAACAATTAGGTATTATTTTAATGAACAATGGTCAAAGTAAAAATTTTACCTTGTGGCATATCCAACGTAGGTGTTTGTGGAATCGGCGGCCGAAACATTGACTTGTTCCTATACTCAACAACATTTGCGAAAAAAAAACGAAAAAAGCAAAGTTGTTTTTGTAAATCACCTAATACAACATGTTTAACCTTCATTATCAATTGAAATTGAAAATTGATTTCGATGGTGAAAAAAAAATCGAAGAAAGGAATGAACTTGACTTGGTAAATTTATAAAATCAGTAGTAGTACCATATTATCTGTGGTGTTGAAAAGTACATTACTATATTTGTGTAAAATTTACTTCTGTCTTCAGCTCCGATCCAAATAGGAATGAGCTTAATTGAATTGATTCGAACTCAATTGAATCTCGATGCGTAAACGTGTATATGTTCACTGGTTTCCTCCCACGTCACACGTACGTGGTTTTAACTCACCGATAAAAAATTTCGAATGGAAATGCAAAGTCCGTGCCGAAAAAACGTTTCAAAATAATTGAATCCGTCATTGTTGTGTATCCTTTGAATAAATATTTGGGGTTTTTCTAAAGCCGTCAAAGTACATCAAAAGCAGTAACAGGCTGCATGTACGATTTGGACAATGGAAAAAAATTTACTAAACCAGTGAAATAAGAACGATCCTTTGTCACGTTGTCACTCTATCCATTCGGTCACACATTGTGTGGTACCTTCGTTCACATTATAATCATCAGGAAAGGGAAAAGACAATGTGGACACAATAATAATAATAATAAATGATTAAAGTGTTGTTGTGTTTTTTCTTTGTCGTTGCTGTGGTTGTTGTCAGATTTGTTTTCTATTTCAAGCTTTGAGCACCGATATATCAGTGCACGGTTATCGAAATCTAGATTGATCATAAGTACTGGCCACATTTAACCCCATTCATTTCTTGTTCTCTGTGTATTGGATGTACATCAACAGAAGCGTGAACTAAAGCGCAATCGAATATCACAAAAATAGCAACAATGAAAATATTTAACATGCTTATCATATCACTCACATTTTTCATATTCAGCACCGATTTATACTCGACCTCCGAGGTCCAAGCGAATCAACACAATAAGCCCACCTCACCTTTTTCGGGCCTATCGAGACGACCGATATTTCATATTTATATATATGCATATAATATATGTTTCCTTTTTACAGAAAATACTATTTAATTGACAGCGCGTGTGTATACCGTCGTGTGTTTCAGTTCAGTGTAAAATTCATTTCAGATATCGTTTAAATGTTGTTGTGAAAAATGGTGAACAAAAGCATGCAACGAGCAAGCGAAAAATTTTCAAATAAATGTCGATTTATCAAATGAAATGATCGATTTTAATTCGCCAATGTCATGCACATAATTTCTACTATTGGAATTTATGACCGGTTAAATAATAATGCTTCAATGGGCTTTAGTTTGGACACATATAAACAGCTCACATGGGAGAAGGAGAGCGAGAGAGAAAGAGGAAAGCGAATAATTTTGCAGTCGATTTTCCATGCCTTTGACCAAATAAGGGATTATGATTTCGTTCGAATGGGCATCCCATTTATGTAGTTTTTTTTCTTATTTCTTTCATTCTCTCGCGCACTCGGCTGTTTATTGAGCTTTCAATAAATTGCCGAGATGACAAGTTAGTTTTTATGAAGGAAAATAGTTCGAGTGGCCTAACTAAATGCAGAAAAGCATCGTTTTCAATACAAAAACACACACTTACGCATGTACACAATAAAAGAAGAAAGGAATGGAAAACCAATCTGAAAAATGTTGTTCGTTACGGTAAAAATAAGAGTACGTTGAATGACAACAACAACAACATAACACAAATGCCTAGTGGCGAAAGGGTCACAATGCCAGTTGTGAATCGCTTCATCAAATAAAAACGATGAGAAAATGTTATATACATGAAAGAATAATGGAATGGCCCGAACAATTGAACGACAACCGAACACAAATAGAGGAAGAGTGAACGACAGAGATAGATAAAAGTGGCGAAAATGAAAGGGACACAAAATCGTGATAGAAAAGACAATAATAAAAATGAAATTCAATAAGACGTAATATTCGATTTGTTCCAGTTGAGATAATATAAGATAATGCATTTGACCCATGTACTTGTGAATGTTGTTGATTTGATCGATATACGCCTGGTGTCATACATGCTTTTTGTGAACGACGATAGCGACGACAACTATGACGAAGGCAACGAGAAATACGACCATTTCGAACAACAATCATGGAATACAACGGGTCGAAGTACAACAAATAAATTTCAACAGTGCAAGAAAAAATTACATCGATCTGTGCGCAGAGAGAGAGAGAGATTTTTTTCTGCGTTGTTTGTTCCTTTTTGCCTTTTATTATTTGTATCGGGGGCGCCCATTATTGGCGGCATATGTGTATAGCAAGAGATGGTTTTGAAACTTGAATCGTTTAGTGAAATAGAAATAGCGGCACATTTAATACATACACAAATCAATCTTCATATCATTCAAAATGGATCCATCAAATGCGATATTGGGCAATAGAAGTGACAAAAAAACTAGCCCCCAAAACGCTAAAAAAGAAATAATAGCAAATCAATCGAGAGAGAGAGAGAGAGAGAGAGAGAGAGAGAGAGAGAGAAAGGGAGTTAAAATACAACGACGAAAATGAATGTTATGCTCATGGCGGTTGAAAATGTGTACAGAATAGAATAATACATACTCTCTGTACATCACATTCGTCTGCGAAACGAAACGTAATGATGGCATGTGTATCAATAAAATTTTAATAAAATCGTACCAAATATTTCCCATCGCCTCCATTACAATCGATGAAAAGTGAACTCATTGAGCCACATCATTCATCATTCTCAACGATGCATACAGAAATAGAGTTGACAATATAGCATTGGGATAGATATTGACATGAAATCAAGCCAATTCACAATACGAAAATCGCTCAATAAAACTAAATGAAACTATACCAATATAATCAAATTGCGTCCGTTTTTATCTCTGACTCAGCTCGACAGCTAAAGAGAAATAGAAAAAGTGTGAGAGTTCAATTTTACCAAATGGAAAATATGTGATACGTTGACTCTGAGAGTCAAACGACCAGCAACAAAAAAACGATATCAAGATATATGTCATCGAAAATCGTTTTACAATAAAAAAAATAGAAAAAATATAAAATAAAACGGCTGCACGCAATATAGTTCTTTCAAATTGACGAACAAATTGCACAGTTTCATACTATCAGTAAAAAGTGTTTATTGATTCGCTTCATCTTTTTTTCTCGAATCACTGCAATCGCCACAAAACATTATTATGCAGTAATGATTAATGTGAGCACACCTTTGAAGAAGGGCTGAAGCATTGATAAAAAGTAGAGATTTAACATGACGTATAAACCATACTGTCTTTTCAAAGAATAATTCGATTTTTTTATTTTATTTCATCAAAGCGGGACCAATTAAAACTGACATTGAGTTATTACGCTACTTGAGAAACGAATACCACAAATTAGTGAGAAAATATAGAAATTGAAAGGCTATGAGAAAATTATTATATTTTTTAATGTCGTTTGGAATAAACAGCAATTATTATATTTATTTATTCACCGTCTGATCACAGACTGATTTTATCACAATTATTTAAACTGTAATTGAAAAATATCTATATCTACACACGAAACGGTAAATAAAGCGAATGAGAGATCGTACAGTGATGAAAAATAAATTATAATCGATCCCATTTCATTTTACATTTTATTTAAACATGACCATATGAATGGGGTAGAATAAAAACTACTTCTCGAAAAATGTTTAAACACGAAACCTAAAAAAAACTTTCAATGAAAAGTGAATCAATTTTTTTTCGTCCAATTGAAGTGAACCAAAAAAAAATTGTTCAATAAAAGTGAACCCAAAAAAAAATTCATTTTAGTGTATTTTACACTGAAAAAACCGAGTGAAATTTTTTTTTTGGTTCACTTTTATTGAACAAAATTTTCTTGATTCACTTCAATTGGACAAAAAAAAATTGATTCACTTTTTATTGAAATTTTTTTTAGGTTTCGTTTTAAAATAGCAATTTTTCGAGAAGTAGTTTTTATTCTACCCCATTCATTTGTCGAATTATTCATTCGAATATTCTGTGCAATTTAGGTGTGCGAGTTAATTTAGCGCAATTATCGTATGTCGAATTGATGTTTTATAAGGCAATGTGGATAAATGAACATTTCATTGTGTGCTTAGCTTTATGGTGGAGCTTGCGTTTCATTTCTAATGGCGAAACTAAAAGAAATTTATCGACTAGTTTTGTTGCTATACTTTGCATGTTTGGTGACTCCAACAACACGTAGGGGCGCCGGTAAACTTTTCAAGTTGGCCAAGCCACGATGCATTTATCAGCTAAACTAACAAAATGTCTCATTTTCTTTTGTTTATAGCTGTAATTACTGGATTGCTGAGTCAGTGGCCAAACTTGAGACGTCAAATGGGAGCACCTGTATCTACAAAAGATACGATATCAAAAAGTATTGATCTAAGTTCTGCATCCAAAATTGGTCAGCAAAGTCAACGCGCCAATTCGAATTCAAAATTAAAAAGTCACATGAAAGAACATATTTCCTCAATGATGCACGGCTTATCATCTGTTGAACAATTCCAAAGATCGATGTCAACACGGCCTTCGATACCCGGAATATTTTTCGAACCGATTAAAATGAACTTCCCAAAAACGCCAGCACGTAAAGGCGTTGCGGCTACAAAATATGTGAATAACATTTTGGAGCGTATGGAGCCACTCGCAAAAGATAAAAATTTAATCATGACCGGTGAAAGTTGTGCCAACGGCTTGGGCAGTATATATATCGTGTAAGTAAAAGTAAACATTTTTTTAGTTCGTTTTTTTTTAAATTATTGCTGAGTAATATTGCAGAAAAAGTGATGAAGGAGATGTGTTGTATACAATATGTTACAATGATGATACTTCCAGTGCTATTTATACGGATCATATTATTGATCTTGCAACTAAAGGTATTGATTTTGAAAAATCAAACTCCAAAGACAAATAGTATATAATTAATTCTTTACTATTAGCGCTTGAACACAGAAGGTTTAAAAAGAACGGTTTTAAATCAGTATACACTTTGGGCGGTGGGAATTTGAATGATTATTATTATGTTGAAAATCAAACCAAAAAACTAAATAAATTATTCATTCCATTTACCGATCCGGATACAAAAAAGAGCAAATATTTATCGCGAAACCATTTAACACCACGTGCTGATTTCACATCGGCCAAACATCAAGCATTGACGTACTACTTTCAAAATTGTTTCCCAGGTGAGAATGGATAGATTAAACCGATTGAATATAACGATAGGAGATATTATTCAGTACTTATGGCTGGATAATAGATGAATAAAAACATACTCTCCTATCGTTATATTCAATAGAAACAATATGTTATGAAATTTTGTTTTAAATTCTGTTTTCTTTTTATCTCGATCGATCATAAAATGTGCTTGTGCACGGTTTGTCATCAACATAGGGATGCAATCGATGAACTGTGGAGTAAGAATTTGTTTTAATATTTAATTAAAATCGGTTATTTAATTGAAATATTGTAATCATTTTCAGAATTGGTGTCAA